TAGTCATCGAGTACATTTTTTTCTACATTTACCGTACATAAATATAGGTAGATCTAGATTATTGCGATAACAATTAGCTGCAAAAAATTGTGCTTTATTTGAGTAAAAGTTCACCATACTGTAGCAGAAATAAGACCTTTTTCAAGCTCAAATGGGTCCTCCAAGCAATTAGAGAGTGTTGGCTTCTTATTAAGGCAAGATTAAATGGTAGTACCATTAGCAAACAATGCCACCGTATAAATGGGAATTTCTTGGAGATCGTTGATGTAAATTAAAATGAAGGTTAAGGAAAGAACTTATAAAATTATAGGATATGAAGAAGAGTGCTGTCTTTTGTGGAAAACTTTAAAATACGATTGGTAAGGGAAAACTCGATAATCTTAAAGATGTTACCTGATATACCGTAAGAAGTGAGCTTTTGGAAATAAACAGCATGCCAAACTTTATCAAAGGCTTTAGAAATGTTGAAAGCGATAGCCTTAACCTCTTCGCATCTATCTAATGCACAATAAAACCTATCGGTTATTACTGTTTACAAATCAGCTCTAGAATAGAACGAAATCTATATTGATGATCAGAAAGTAAATTATTCAAGATGAGAGATCAAACGTTGTTAATTAATTATTCAAAAACCTTGCTCATGATAGTAAAAAAAATAGTGGGGCAATTGTTAGACAAGTCAAGTTGCTTACCAGAATTTTTTAAAATAGGGATAACAGATGCTGCTTTTCAGCAGACTGGAAAACAAGACTCTGATAAGCACTTGTTAAACAAGTTTGAAAGTATAGACGACAGCTCTGGATAGCACTTCTGCATGACTATAACAGGAATGTTGTCCGGACCACAAGCAGTAGAAAAGTCTAAACATGTTATCATTTTATATAAAGAAGCTGGAGTGATGCGAACGTCAAACAATGGATAATTCTGTTTGTCGGCTATATTAGGTCAAACGCGACTAGTGGGATTAACCCCTTAACTGTGTCTGACGAATATATCTATCAATGGAAGGTATAGCTTTCTTTGTGTCTGACGGATAATAGCTAGTAAAACTTTTTTTTTTTTTTAATAAAACCTTAAGAATTTTCGACACACTATACGAAAAAAAAATTTACGACATGAAATAATTCTAAACAAATATATTTTGTCGTAATCGAGAGTGTAACTTTATTAATTAACTTTATTTTAATTAATCAATATTGGTTTCGATCTTCTCGTTCTACGGCTGATTTGCTAACAGTAATAACTAATAGGTTTTATCGTGCATTAGATAAGGTGGAGAGGTTAAGGCCATTGCTCTTGACATTTCTAAAGCGTTTGATAAAGTTTGGCATGCTAGTCTTCTCCATAAGATTTCTTCTTACGGTGTATCTGGAAATATCTAAAAGAATATTGAATCCTTCTCTTCCAATCGTAGAATAAAAATTGTCCTTGATGGACAGCACTCTTCTTCTTATTCTGTAACCTCAGGGGTTTCTCAAGGTTCAATCTTTGGCCCTATACTCTTTTTAATTTACATTGACGATTTTCCAGATATTCTCACATCTAAGGTGGCATTGTTCGCTAATGATACTGCCATTTATTCTTGTCACGATAAGAAACCAACTCCCGCTGATTGCTTGTAGGAGGCATTTGAGCTTGAAAAGGATCTCACTTCTGCTACAGTATGGGGCTCGCAGTGGCTTGTGAACTTTAATTCAATAAAACTCAATTTTTTTTAGCCAATCATCATCGCAATAATTTAGACTTTCCTATATTTATGAACGGTAAATTACTCGATGAGTTATCTGCCCTTCATCTTCTAGGATTAACTTTTACTTCTGATCTTTCATTGAAACCTAATATTAAGAATAACATTAAGAAAAAAACCTAATATCAAATACGTTGCAAAATTAGCATCTGCTAAAGTTGCTTCTCTTTATCGAGCTTGACACTTTCTTACTCTGGATTCTATTCTCTATCTCTATAAGTCTCAAATCCGGCCTTGTATGGAATACTGTTGCCATATCTGGGGCGGATCTTCTATCGATGCCCTTTCTCTTTTAGACAAGATTAAAAAACGCATTATAAACAGAGTTGGACCAGCTCTTACTGCCAACCTTTAACCTTTGTCACAACGTCGTAATGTTGCTTCTCTTTCTCTTTTCTACAAATACCATAATGGGTACTGCTCAAACGAGCTAGCATCTCTCGTGCCATCTACTAAAATTCATTCCCATGTTACTCGTCATTCAATTAAGTCTCTTTCTTTTTCTGTGACTGTTCTTATGTGCTCCAAAAATCTTATTCCTTTAGTTTTTTCCCTCAACCATCAGTTCTTTGGAATTTGCTTCCTTCGTCTTGCTTTCCTGATTCATATAATTTGCAATCTTTTAAGTCGTCTCTCAATCGTTATCTTGCTCTACAATCTTCATCTTTTCTCTTCCAACACTATTTAGTGATTGCTTGCAGCCTAGTTAGAAGCGAAGATGTTTAATAAAAAAAAAATTGTAATAACTGAATTCTAATAACTAAAATAGCAGTAGTAGTAAGTATTTAATAAAGTTAATAGGCCATGTGAATAAAAAAAAAATTTTATTTACTTAGTAATTGGTAAGCTTTATGTGAATAAAAATTTCAGCAATTTTACTCAAATTATTATTTGCATAAAGCAGAACAATTACTTAGTGTTTTTGGAGTAAATTGGTAAGCTTTACGTGAATAAAAGTTTGAGCGAGTTTGCTAAAATATTTATTCACCTAAAGCTGAAAAATTACTCCAAAAACGTTAAGTAAAAGCAATTTTTTTTTTTTTTATTTACCCGCCTAATAGTTCAGTTTGTAATTTCAATTTTGAAACTCGAAATACATGCTTGCGCTGGGTTAACTCCAACTAATTAAAATTTTTGCAATTCACCCTTATTTGATACCAGTATCAACATACTAGAAATTTGAGTATGCAACATGACTCTTACTTATCTTGAACAACAAAATTACGTAATTTCTCCCAAGGCCCCTGGTGAAAAAAAGTTGTTTTTTAATTTATTGGAATAAGAAAGAGTCTTTAATAAAAAAGAAAAAAAAAATTCTGGGGATGTATCTTAGAGCATGTTCTATGCACCATAGACAGTAAAGTACACCATACTTTTAAAGTTTTTCATTTTTAATATATTGTATAACTTTTGTGGTGCCACTATATGTGAATAATGATATTGGGAAAAGTCATTATTTACATATAGTGAATTTTCTTTCAGTTTTCAGAGGTAAAATTGGTCATTTATGCATAAATGCAAGGGATGTTAAATTTTTAAATTATTCAAATCTCAAACTTTTTAGATTTTTTTCAATAAATTACCATATGATGTAAAACGATTTTAGGATTCTCAAGTAAAACAATTAAAGATATAAGAAAAACTTTGTACTAGAGACATAACTGTAATAAACTTTTCCTGAACCTGCTATGGTGTTTGTACAATCCTCCTCCGATTTCTAAGGACTAATGGGTTTATTTTTTCCCAAAGTCAATACTTACATATGAGAAGTGGACTTGCAAAACCTGACAACTCTCTGAAATGGCAAAAAATATTTTCCAGTAAATCAGCTAAAAATTAAGAAATTAAAAGCAATACAATAGATATTTTAAATAAAGATAATACACTTTAAAATTTATTTTCAATAATAATTGAATACTAAGCAAAAATAAAAAATAAACAAACGAAAAATATATATTCAAGACTATATAAAACAGTTTTTAATTATTATTACTATTATAACTGCAGCCCTAAAATATTCATACCATATATACATACAGCGAGCAGGGAAAACACACTATTATAAACAACTAGTTTTATAAATATTCGTTCCGATTTTTATTCTCAACCAGTGATCTAATCTAATTTTAAAAGAAAGTACAGTGGAGTATAAAGTTACTTGGTTGTGTCTTGGAAGACAGTTTAGAACATATTCACGTCTTATTTTAAGATGGTGACCACGTGACAATGAGTTAATAAATTTTGGTTGATATATATTATTAATTATATCAAATCGATGTATTATTTTAAAAATTTGTATTAAATCGCATCGTAGGCGCCGAAACTCGAGTGATGGTAGATTTAGTCTTTTAAGTCTTTCATAGTATTGAAGATTTCTCAAGTTTAAAGCCTATTTTGTTGAACAGATTCAACCAAAGCTACGTCAGTTTTTAAATGGGGTCCAAACAGACACTGCATATTCAAGGTGTGGTCTTATAAATATTTTATATAATTTGAGAGCCATTTTTTCATCAACGATGGTGAATGTCCTTTTTGGCATACAAAGAATTTGTAAAGATTTGGAGACAACTGATTGAATATGTGTACTCCACTTGAGGTTAGATGTAAAAATAACTCCTAAATCGCGCTCTTTAATAGAGCTTCTTAGGCTTTCATTTATACCTTGTTTATTTTGAAAAAAGTAGCTGTACATAGAATTGGTTTTACCATAATGGATAACACAACATTTTGAAATGTTTAATTTAAATAACCAAGTGTTTGACCACTCGTATACTAAGCGTAGACGGTCCTGCAGATCAACGAAATTAGTTTGCGATAAAGTTTTAGAAAAAAGTTTAGTATTGTCTGCAAATACTTCAGAAGTTGGGAAAGATCGTTTGTAAAAAGAATAAAGAAGAGCGGGCCGAGAACAAAACCTTGAGGAACACCAATAAGAACATCAATCCAGTCAGAGCTAGTATTGTTAATTGCATTTTACTCAATACAGATATTGTCACTTAATAGTTTTTGCTTTGTATATTTCTGATTTTTATCAAAAAATCATTATAGTTTAGACGATTCGCTCGTAATATTATAAAAAAAATTTTCTTCATGTTAGAAAAAAAAAATTTAATCATAAAAAAATATAAAAGTGGATTAAAGAAAGCAAAATTTAAGTAGCGTTACAATAAGCTTCCGGCAGTAAATAAAAAGTACTCTGTCAACCCCACAACATTACCGAACCTGAATCAAAAATTGAAAAACCTGAAAAAACTAACAAAACTTGCAAGTGAAATTTGTTAAACTGATGATCATGACCAAGAAAAAGATATGGAGGTGTTAGATAGTTCAACAGCAAACAGAAATCATAAAAAAGAACTTCATGAAGAAACAGGTTTAGTAAAAGATCTTGTAGAAGAAGTTAAAGTCAAAATACAATGCGATAAACTTGCAGATGTAGATATAGAGCTTCCTGATGATGAACATGGAAAAATTTGTAAAGGATTGGCAGTGACCCTGTTAGAGTTTCTCTGAACTGGCAACCCAAAAACGGAACTTTATTGGTCTTCTAATAAATTTGTTGATATAGGTTTTCCATAATTGGATCAGTATATTCTTGCTGTCTGGACAGGTGGAGAACGGGGGTAAAGGGTGGTCTTAAACATGACAAAAATGTGACTTTTAAAAATATTTATTTTTCCAAAATGACAATGGCATGAAACATAAAATAAAACTTTAAGGATGCAGATTGAAAACAAAAGTAAAAGGTCAACTTAAAGTCGTAGTAGGTGTTCCACAACCGTCAAATGAGAATATTGATTTTTTTAGAAAAAAAGTATAAAGAGAAACGTGTTAGATGTAGCCGAATTGCATTGACATATTAAAATGGCATATTACTGAAAGCAATTTATGTTTATTTTTATATATTTTATATTTTTTTTATAACTATATATTTTTTATTTATATATTTTATATTTATTTATTTATTTACTTATATATTTATTTATTTATATATTATATATTTATATATTTTATATTTTATATAACTATATATTTTTTAAAAAACATTTTGTATTTTTCAATAAAAATTGAAACTTTTTATGTAATATATGGTAATTTTTATTTTGAGAGTTCTTTTCAGAGTCAGATTTTCTTTCTTCACTGCATTCATATTCGTAGTATTTATTTATAATTTCATTACGTCATTAAAATATCATTACGTCATAAAAGACTTCCTTTATATTGAAATATTTTCGTGCATTTTGATTACCGTAGGTTTGTTCGTACTTCGTAATAACTTTTATTTTGATCTTTTAATTAAAGTTGTAATACCAACTACTTCATCGATCTTTAAGTGGTTGTTTGTTTGTTTTTTTCCTGCTTTTTGGTTACTTTAGATTCTTTAATGCTTTCTTTTGATTATTTTTCATTGCTTTTTTATGTATTTTTTTTTCTAAAAAAAGAATACTTGTTTAAAAAAAATTATTTTGTAAGGGAATTCTGTGTTTATTTTATATCAGAATTCTGTAAAGGTGGTACACCAGGAAGAAAAATGATAAAATAATTTTTTTTTTTTTTTTTTTTTTCAATTTTATAAACGATTTAAGTTGACTTTTTAAAAAAAACTTTTGACATACTTGTTTAAATATATAGCTTAACTTTGACCTAGTTGAGCCCCACTATCATATAAAACTCCCTAACAACCTCGCAGCAACAAATTTTTAACTTGTTTTAGAAATAATTTTGGACTTAATTTTTTAATAGCAATTTTGAGATAAAAGCATAAAGTCATCAAGAAAGAGTTGTTCTTGTTTTTCTCGGTCTAAACTGCATTGATAGAAATCACAAACCTTATTAAACAGAGAACAAACAATCTTGTTGCTTATTTAATTTTTTTTTTTGTTAAGATGTCGAGTAAAAAAAATTTATCTAGAAAAGCGGTTAATGTTATACTCTTTCATTTTACTAGCTTTCCTGATAATGATTATCGACACCAATTTTGCCCTAGAAATACAACTAAATCATGGTGTAAGTACTAAAATAATAGCAAGAAAAATATAAATTCATCTATGTCAATTTCACCATGGATAAAAACTTTAGCTCTTCCTATTATTCAAGACCTACAAGCTCTACCCGAACAAGCAAAACGCAACAACAACAACAACAATAATAAAATACAAGATGGCGATTATGTATGCTTTTTATTTTGTTATTATTTTTTTTTAGATTAGTTTTAAAAAATTATTTACATATAAAAAGTTAGTTTTTTTTTTAATTACTTTAAAAGTGTTAATAAAAGTTTCATCTTCCGACTCCCAATCGGAAAAATCATTGTTAAAGTCATTTACTTCATTTATTATGTCATTATTTTCATAAAAGACACTATTTGAATTTATGTAACAGTTTTCATAAGATGATGTTTTTTTTTCATTGACATCTTCTTTTTTCATGCGCGTTTGCCAACCGACGTTAGCTGCTGTACAATTTGATTTGAAAACTTTGTTCGTTTCTTTTAGCTTTTTATTTTCATGTTTTCTTAAAGCAAACATATTTTGTGGAGAAGCAGGAAGATCAATTTTCATTCTGGTTTGCCATTTCGGTATTTTAATGGTGCTATTAATTTTTTTTCTAAAAAAAAAAACTTTTATTATTTTCAAAAAATTCAACTATAAAAGAGGTTATGATTATAATAATTTTAATTTGATAATGTGATATTTATGCCTGAAAATGTGAATGAAATTTAAAATAAATTATTTTCATAGTTCAATTTGTTAATCCATGATTTAAACGAAGAAAGAATGTCGCTGGATGCTAATCGTCAGGGAGACTTATGAGACTTATCGCACGCGCAAAATGTGCGTGCAACACACGCAGTGTTGGTGAAAATACAAAATCTCATGAGGAAACTAATATAAAACTAACTCTTTCGAGGTGGTCTCTAATTGACATTTCAAAATTTTTAAATATTAAATTCTAAAAACTTCCGACGGAGTTTTATCCTAAAAACCAGCGTAAATTCCTCTTTTACGTCAAGCCTCGTAATGTTGAAACACGTTTAAGGACTCGCTACTATAGCCAAATAACCTACCTTTTTTCAATAAAAAGGTGTAAACTAAAATATTTTTAGAAAATTTAAGACAAAATATAGCGTAATAGGTAATCTTTAAAATATATTTATATAATTGTTTAATCATTATGTAGTAATGTGTTTTGAACATGTGTTCTTTTTAGGCGATCTTTAGCCTATAACTCTGAGATACTTCATACAAAGTTTCTTAGAGTATATTTGGCGTATGCGTATTACTAAAAAATAAAACAAAAACGACTACCTTTTTTCCGCGGACACTTTAAACACTTAGGTGATTTGACTACTGTATATTTTTAAAAAGAAAGTGCAAAAACACATTTATATGAATTTTATATTAAAAATAAAAAAGGAAAGGTGATAAAAACAAACAAACAAGGTGACTAAGTTGTAACCAAGAAAAGTGCAAGGTCAGGTAATAAAAGCAAAATGCCAAGAGTCTCATACATATTTATTATATAATATCAAATGCCAGGAGTCTCAATCATGTTTATTATATAATATCTCATTTATGTTTATTATATAATATGTAATGAACCTTATCATTAAAGTAAAATAATTCTAATTATTTACAATCCAGAAAACACCAATATCTAATTAGATAAAAGGTGTTAACAAATAATAATTTAATCCATTAAATTATGGCGGCTAAAAAAAATTTGACAAAATCTTGTCACGAAGCAAAACAATAGTTAATTTATATATAAATTAAGAGGTATTTTTGTTTTTAGCACCGCTTCTAATGTGCAATATTAAGAAGGCGATAATTTACAGTCTAAATATATTAAATAAACAAAATTAATAAGGCCTTTCCCAGTAAACATTTAGTCTAGTAAAAAACGTCTTTAATATTTCTTTTAGACGTACTAAAGTTTTTTATACTAATTTTTATATCTAAAAGACGCGTTTTTTAAAATAAATGTTTAATGGGTTTATCATTTAGAATAAAAACTTAACTGTAATAAGAAAGATCCAACAACAAATTTATATCTTAAGATATAATTTTGTTGAGCTCATATATTTAAACAATATTATGTATGTCAGATAAACACTAAACATTATTTCTATTGCTCAACGAGTAATATGACTTATTTATATCTTTAAGAACTTAGTTTAAAGTTAACTTCTCATTTAAAGTTATTTGGTATTTAAGTTTACATTAATGTTTAAATAATAAATTAATTTGATTTAAAAATACTCTATCAAAGCTAGGGTAAAGGGTTCTAGTATTGATAAGTTTGTATAAAATAGGCCCATTCCCGTTTCTAGAAAAAAATATCGAAGGTAAGAAGGCCTATCTTAAAAAAAGGAAAAACGGCAATCAAGTTATCAACAGTCGGATATTTAAACTTGCCTCAGCAGCCTTGCATACCATTTATTTATTTATCAGCCTCGCATTCCATATATTTATTTATCAGACACCTGGACACTGCAAGCGCTGCAACTATTGTTTATCTATCGGATTAATTATCGGAAATCTAGACACGGAAACATATTTTTGTTATCAAAACAATTGTCTAGAAAAACTTCATGAAGAACCAGGTTAAGTAAAATGTCTAGTAGAAGAAGTTAAAGTGGAGGTACAATATGATAAACGTGCAGATGTAGGTATAGAATTTCCATATGGTGTAGGCATGTGAAATTTTTTTGATGTTTTGTGCAATTACTTCTGATTCAAAGAAATTACTAAATGTTAACACATTCAGAGCAGATTTAGTGCACCAGAAGCTTTTTATCCTAATGATACATTTAAACATTGTTGTTAAGATTCCTTGTTTTTACGAAAGCAATAAAATTGGTTAGAAAGTTCTCCTTGATTGGCTGTGTTGTTCTCCAAAAACTGTAGTGCTCATTGTAAGTTGTTTGCAAAAACCAAAAAAACGTCACTTTTAGCAACTAGTGTTTAGTACAATTGGAAAAACGCAGTCAGGGAATAAATCTAGGGTTGATTTTGAAATTTTAGGTGGATTAGTATGCTCTTGTTAAAGGCATATTTTAATACCCTATAAATTAGGGTATTTATTTCTACTCATTGGATTGGATATACGAAGCATATAGATGAGTAGACAATACTATTTTTTTTCTAAATGTGCTGCACCCTATTATTATTAAAAAAGTTATTTCTATACACACTACAGGAAAGCTGTAGTATTTATAGAAATTAATACTACAGCTTTCCTGTAGTGAAAGTTTTTTTTCCTTTTTCATTAGTATATATTTTGTTGTTTTTTAAACAAGATATATACACAGATAATATTTTTGTAGTACATATTAATAAATCAAATTTTTCAAAAAAAGCCCACTGCAGTATGAGAATTTTCTCCTGTTTCCATTTTACTTTCCATTAAAATCTTCTATTAGCTTATTAAATTTTTTCTTCCCAGTAATTCAACATATATATATATATATATATATATATATATATATATATATATATATATATATATATATATATATATATATATATATATATAAATATACATTTACATACATATATATATATACATTTACATATATACATATACATACCTTTACATATATATATACATACATTTACATATATATATATACATACATATATATATATATATATATATATGTATATATATATATATATATATATACATTTACATATAAATATATATATGTATATATATATATATATATATATATATATATATATATATTTATATATATATATATATATATATATATATATATATATATATAATACATAAAATAAAAGACAAAGAATAATAAATAAAAAAAAACAAAGAATGTTTAAAAGTTGATCCTACCAATGCTCCTTCCAAACATGTGGCAAATTGAAAGCCTCTAGCCATGATTAGTAAACTTTGTTCATGCTGTAGGGTCTTAGCAATTTCTTCAATTTTATCATTAAGTTGAGTACTTCCGAAATATTTTCTAAACAATAGTAAACACGTTTTAAATTCTGATGTAATCATAATGAATTTTAAATAAAACTGCTGTAAAAGTACCAGGAAAGACTTTTAAAGCTTGAATTATTTCTTTACAACGGTCCTGTTTTGATTTTCTGTCTTCAGCCATCATCACAGCAAACAATACAAGTGTCAAAAATTAACTAGTATAAGCTTTAGTGCTTGCAACTCCTATCTCTGGACCAGCATTGACGTGGACACCACACATGGTTTCACGTGATATGCTACTTCCAACTGTATTGGTTATACCAACAACTAATGCACCACGACTTTTACAATAATGAAGTGCCATAAGTGTATCTGCAGTTTCACCTAACAAGAACAAGTAACAACAACAAAATTATTAAATTCCATTTATTATTACTATTTAAGAATTTTAATACAACAGTAGAATTCAGTTAAGTGGAGCCTCAGAGATAATAGATATATTGTCCAACATAGAAAATGCCCAAACTAAACAAAGTTCTTGGTATGTTGAACGTTTGGAAAGCATCAGGTTATTAAGATTTTGAGACTTTCAAAATTTTTTCAATATATAATACAATATAGTATAGAACTACAAAATCTGATGTTAAATAGAGTATAGTAATAATTAATACATGTTATATAGTGAAAAAGTTTCATATTGATTTTTGTTTTATTGACTTGCAAAACTTTCTCTATATAAACATCAAGAAACTGACAACAATATCAATTTTCTTGAAAAGTTCATCAGTTGTTCGTTTTGTCACCTTTAAGTAAATAAAACATCATTGTCAACTGTTCTTTGTAAGTAAATATCCACTTTTTATGGCTCTGATTTGTTCTTTTTTTCCAACAATCAATACACCTTTAAAATTGTTACATCAAATTCTTTAGCAAAATACAAAGCTTTGACTATAAAACTGGTTTTAAACACAAGAATGTTTGACTTCAAGCATTTAAAAACCACATCTAACATACTTTGAATAAATCCAAAAAGACCTAATAATATTGTCACAGAGCACCACAAAAGGGCAACTAATTAGGAGGTTCATACTTTCTTTTTAACTAGTTAGAGCTGGCATTGAACCTCATAAATAAGGTCAGAACTGGTATCTGACCATTGAACTCTTAATTTTGAAGCAAGTTATTATTATTACATAAATATTTTGAATGAAAAAAAAATTGTAAATACTAACAGATGGTCTATCCTTACTAGTGTGTAATAGAAGATAACAGACAAAATTTAAGTTAATGAAAATCTGTCCATCTTAGTAAATACCAGACTAATACCAGGTTTGAGTTAGGCAGATTCTACTGTATTTAAAATTCATATGACCATATACTTTTTTTATATATGACTAAAACACAGTTTTTTTAATATTTACCTGACTGACTTATGAAAAAGCAGACATCGTCGCGAAATATTGGAGTATTTCGATCTAAGAAATCGCTAGCTAGCTCAACCATAACTGGAAGTTCTGTTAACTCCTCCATCAACTGACGAGTCTAAAAAGTTACAAAGTTTAAAAATGTGGTCATTTTTTACTATATAAAAATGAACAAAACAATTATAACTCAATTAAAAAATTATAATTAAAAGAAAAAAGGTCATACAGCAACAGCACTATGATAACTTGTTCCACATGCAATAAATATGAGTCGTCTGCATCTTTTAATGTAATCAATGTGTGATACCAATCCACCAAGTAAAACAGTGTTATTTTGGAAGTTTACTCTTCCTCTCATTGTGTTGTAAACACTTTCTGGTTGTTCCATTATTTCCTTGTGCATAAAAGATGAATAACTACCTAAAAAAAAATAAATGTTATCTAAACACATCGACAAGTTGTCGAAATTAAAGCAGATATTATTAAAAATCAAACAAGAAATTTTTTCAAAAAAAAATTCGTATTTATCAATGTTTATAATAAATTTAAAACCAATAAATTCCAAAATCTTAAAAAACAGACAATTAAAAATAAAAAAAAATTATGGAAAAAAAAATACAGTAGTGTAATAAAAAAAACAAAAAAACATAGACCTAAATCTGCAGTTACCTTTTATTATTTCTTGGATCTCTAGTTGTAATGTTTGCACATCTCTTGTTAAATAAGTTTTATTGTTCATGCGTGCTTTTAAAGACAAGAGCATATGCTCCTTCCTACATGTGTTAATTCAGGTCATTATTAAAATAACAATAACTTTTAAAAACATTTGTAATAAGGTCTATAAAATAACAATACTATCAGTTTGAATTAACAAAAAACAAAACAAATGCCAGTTGGCGTACAGTCCTCTCTACAAGATCAGGAAAGCTAAGCTTTATAGATGTATGTGATTCTTGATCACGATCAAATAAGTATTTTATTAATTTAGTAATAACTTTTGTATTGGTTTGAGATTCGAGAGTGTAACCTTTCTTAGCCTGAATCAAGAGATATTATTTAATATATATTAACCTACAAAATATCTATAAACATCTGTATGTAATAAGTAAAAAAAATCTATAAATACCTGTATGTAATATGTACAAAATATCTATAAATATCTGTACTAATAGTGTGTGTAAAAAGCCGTGTGCAATTAGGTAAGCAACTAAGGTTACCTAAAAATTGTGAATATACGATGTAGTGGTCTCCTATAGAGTATAAACACTATAGTAGACTCTATTAAATCGTATAGTCATATCATTTTGGTAACGTGTTTTGCTTACCAAAATCCGCACGGTTTTCTCGGAAAAAGAAGAAATAAACAGCATATAATGAGAACGGTTGCTGCCCTAACTAAAACCCTTAGTCACTTCTTTGCATGTTCTCCCTATTTAGTAAATTGATATATGAAAAGTTTATCTTTCATGAAAATTTTTACATAACAATAAAAAAAAAACGTAAAAAAAAGTTTTTAATAAAGAATTTTATTAATTTTCTAGCTAGTTTAATGGAGTACATTTACATTGTTAAAATGTAACTCTTTACATTTGCGGCTGTCCACAAATTGCATCATGCAATAGGGGGTGGTTTTTAGGGTATAGGTTTTTATAACCGGAAAGAAAAACCGGAAATGGGTTAGATACTTTGTAACGATTTGTTTTATGGTAAGGGAGATATTCGATTTAGTGACGCAACATTTTTGTCTTTAAGTTTAATCGTAGAAAAACCCTTCCTTTGAACAAAAGCCAAACAAAAACCCTCAGTTTATGTATGTACACTCCTTGACTGTTGCTATTTAATTTAACTTAGTTACAATTGACTTTTTTAATTGACTTAAATTTTAGTAGATTAATGTAGACTCTGCTGCGTCTATGGTTTTTTCATTCAATTAGCCGATTTATCTTCGACGAAGAAATTATTAGTGATAGTTTAATTGTTAAATAAAAACAGTTAATACGCATTGACATAAAATTTTATAATGTTAATATAATCCACTGCGCCTATACCTATTTTAGTCCGTCGATTTATGTAACTACACTTATTCTGTGCAATTCAATTTAAAACAAAAGCCATAACCAATATAATTTTTAATAAACCACCATAATACTCAAAACACAGTTAACTAATTTGAAATAAAATGTCAGAGTAACGCTCTCTTAAAGTTTTTGAAACAGCACCCTAATAGGCCTTTTAATAGGCCTTGTAATAGGCGTTTTAATAGGTCTTGTGAATAAAAAAAGCTTTTACTCTAATAAAAAACTACTAATAAAAATAAAATTGCCTTTACTTAATAATTGGTCAACTTTACGTAAAAATTCTACCAATTTTTTGTAAGTTTTTATTCACGTATAGATAAGCAACTTTTGAGTAAATTGCTTAACTTTACAAGAATAAAAATTTTGCCAAATATGCTGAAGATTTTTTCACGTAAAACTGACCATCTGAGTTAAAGCAATTGCTATTTTTTATTCACCAGACCTAATATTTAAAAGTATTAACATCCTTGGCTCAACGCCATATTATGTTAAATTATTAGATAAAATATTTTGAATTTCGCGCCTACAAATACATATTTTTATTGTGGATTAGTTATTAGTATGCGCGTTAAAATAATGTCTTTCAAAATAAAAGAAAATAATAATAACAAAAAGAAAAAACTTAAAATAGTATTGCACATAAAACCGCAAAATGAATTTTAAAGAGGATAGGGGATTAAAAATTTGTTGAGTAATTTAAAAAGGGGTAAAGTTCAGTAGGGAAGCAGCGAAAAAAAAAAAAAAAAAAATTGCCTGACGTATTTTAGCGAAAACTAAGTCTAAAATTGCCTGACTTATTTTAAGGAAAACGCTTTTTTATCTGAAGCATTTCCCCCTATTTGCTTACATCGAAAAACCGTCCATTTTTAATTAAAAAATTAACCATATGAATGAAATTCACTGTTAAATAATAAAGAGCATATTCTTACCAAAAATTTCTTTATAGTTTGTTATGATTCCATTGTGAACCAGAACAAATTCTAAACAAAAATTTCTTTATAGTTTGTTATGATTCCATTGTGAACCAGAACAAATTCTAAACAAAAATTTCTTTATAGTTTGTTATGATTCCATTGTTAACCAGAACAAATTCTAAACAAAAAGCAATAATTAATAACTTTACTGCCACATCTTTTGTATGCTTTTTCACGTCTATTTAGTAATAACAAATATAAAGTAATAACAATATTTTTCTTTTAGAATTTATATTATTCTATTATTAGATAAACGTTACTAAATTTTTTTCGTCTTACCGTTATTAGAGTCAGAACGATGAGGATGAGCATTAAGAGGACTTGGCACACCATGTGTTGCCCATCTAGTGTGAGAAATACCAAAGTGAATTGAAAACTCCTTTTCAAAATGCAGGTTTGCATTGCCTATAAAGTGTATCTGTTTAATCTTTCAATAATTCTAATTTTTTCACAAAAATACAGTGTAAAACAAACACTTATATTGAAAAAAAAAAAAAAAGATCCGCTTGAACACTGAGTAGTCCACGTACTAAATTTATGCAAAAAAGTAATTTTAGTTTTTATCATATAAATGTTTAATTTTTTTTGTTTAATGTTTAATGTTTAATCTCATCAGCAAGATTTTTAACTTTGCCTTTAGTTTTGAATATTCTAAACATAAAGAAATTGTGTAAATTTTAAAAAAAACTAACATTTTGCAACCGGAACCACCAAAAACCAAAGCATGTCAACAGTTTAAAAACTTTAACTTACAAAACCTTACAACTTGTGGTTTGATCAGAGTCTACTGCAATACCTAATAGAATTAATGATAGTGTTAAAACGTCTCTATAACTATTTATAAATATTAAACCGCTATATTCGTCTCTATAAATATTAAATCGTTAGTTTAAAAATTATATAGAACTTTTATTCTATGAAAGTATGAACAAGGTAAATTTAACCAATGTAACGAAACCATAAAACAGTTGAACACAAACAGAATGCTAATTATGCTGAAGATAACAAAAGATATTAAAACAAAATTAACTCAACCTGCTGAATCATATCCTCTATATTCAAGTCGGTGAAGTCCGTTTACTAATACGTCCAAAATATACTTTCTATTTCGTGGCACGTTATAGTTAAGGTAAGCAAGTATTCCTTAAATATTCAAATAAAATGAAATGTCAAAAAGTTTATAAAATTTATATTCTTATAGTTTATAGAGTTTATATTCTTATTTAATCTTTTCTTTTATATTATTAATCTCATCATTATAATAAAATATTGTTTCATTTAGGTACTGCAACAAGAAGCGACAAAAAATCATTAGTACTCTATGTAAGTTGAATTTACAACTACGTGAGTTGCAAGACACAATTATTTAAAGGTGCACAATTTAAAAAAATATATATAAAAAGTGACAAACATAATGACTTAGTTCACACTCAAATGTACAAGCCTTAATGTTTACCTAATGTAATAATTATTTAAAAGATAAGCTCAGTGTTAGATTTACCACACATTCTTAAGACGGCACTATCTTTTCCAACGCTGTTCACATTTTGAGCAATTGTCAGTGCGCAGTTTTATAATCATTTTTAATTAAAGGCGTTAAAACAATTACTAAAAAAATTTTAAGTTGTGAAAATATTATGTGAGAAAAACAACAATAAGAATAATAAGAAAATCAATAAAAAGTTCGCAAAGGAAATAATAACTTGGAAAAAAGTGAAAGTATTTCGTAATATGGTAATTAACTTATACCACTAAAATCAAGTTTTACAAGCCAAAAATAATGTTATGTAGAATAGAAACAACAAGCTAACTATCAAATTATGATTGTTAACGGAAAAAAAAGTTTAAATGAAGTTTTCTTTTTTTTTTTTTTTTTGTTAAGGTAGGTGATCTTTTTTTTTAGATAGACGGAGGAGATAGACGGTAGATAGATAGGAGATAGACGGGTAGCCCCGTAGAGCGGGTGACTCCGGACACTTGATTTGCAGCATATACTAAAGAAGCTTTGTGATTTTATATGCTTTCAAAACATTGTATGAGTGAAAATATGGCATAAAGTATCTTTCATAATGTGCCGAAATGATAGGCTAGGAGTGATTAAATGGGAGATATTTTTTCCCCCACCTGAAGATTGATGAATCATCATATTTGATTCACATTTAGATGTACATTTCCCCCACCTGAAGATTGATGAATCATCATATTTGATTCACATTTAGAATACCTACATTTTATGTTAAGTAATAAGTTTTTATTGATTAAAATATTTTTATTCACAATATTTATTAAAAAAAAATTCGTTGAATACTTTTATTCACCGGTTTTAAAATTAGTATTTGTGAATAAAGTATGATGGGATGGTATTGTTTGATGAGATGGTATGTTTTGAGGGTTGTTCCGGACAACTTAATCCATTTATATATAAAGTAAGCAACTTTTATATATAAATAACAACACATTTCATATAATACCTAAACCCATAATAGTTATTAATTTAACATCAATAAAAGTCTTTAAACTGTTGTCACATTTTTTTATTTAAAAATTACTTTAATATTAAAATCTAATGTTTATATTTCTTTGCGATGACTATTTTATTTTTATTCTTTAAATATCATGGACAGTTATTAAAGACGATTTCTTTTTTTAATATGTTGAGAACATTCCAATGCTAATAAATTATATATTATATTTGTGTCACGCGGGTAAAAAAGGTAAAATTATGGTTAAACTTTGTGCTGATAAAAATATAAAGAAATAAGAGAAATTTGTCTTACGACAAAATGTCGTTGTTAGGACGACTTTATGACGTTATGACATGTGACGAAATACTCTATGACGACAACTTGATTAGAATTCGGTTTTTTAATTTAAAATGTTTTTTAAAACACATTTTAAAATAAAAATGATGAGTAATTTTTGTGTTCGTTTTAGTATTTGATTAATTTGCCTTTAAAATATAGTTGAGCAGTTTCGATTCAAAAGTTCTGTAATGCGTTATAGTAATAGAAAATGAAAGTTATTGCCTTCACATTTGGGGTATAGTGGAGGGGGTTTTATATTATAGGGTCTTTTTGTTACCAGTCTAACGTAATGAACGTAATGAAAGTAGTAAAATGTTTTAAAAAAGAGAGCAAACAAAATTTTTCAAAGACTTTTTATCTAAAATGACACACCGTTGTCATGCTAATAATGTTAATAAGGAAGAAAAGTAAAAATGGCTCCAAAAATTCAGTTAATCAAAATGATGTCTTAAGCTGATTTTTTCCATACTTAATTTTACTAATGATATTCCAAATATTCTATGTTATCCTAATATTCTCCTAATATTCCTAATATTCCTAATATTCCTAATATCCTAATATAATAATAATACTAATATTCCTAATACATATTTCTCTCATTCTAATCAATTTTATAGGTTTTCAGGTTTGCAGCCAGGTGAAGCCTTTATTTCTTAAGGGTGTCTTTCTTTTTATATTTTTCAAGTAATTGCAATCAAAATTGCAATAATTTTCTTGTATTTTATAATATCTTATACTATTAGACTTAATTCTATATTACATTCAAAAATTGCGGTAAGAGTTGAAATCCTAAAATTATCTCTTTTTTTTAACTGGTGCAGATATGCATTCTATCAAATTGATATATATTTTTAACTTATATGGTTTAACATGGTATATGGTTTTGAAACTTAGCTTTAAAGATAGTAGAAAATACTTTTTATACAACTGCGAAAAAAAAAAAAATCAAGAAGAAGGGAACTAGAATAAATTTTATTGACAACCTTCCTGTTACCACGTATATAATCAAACAAAAATGTTGCTTATTTGACATGAAAAGGTGAGTTTTCAATAGATTTATCTTCAAATTAGCAGGATTTTAAAAAATTTTTAAAAATCTTATAATTTTTAGAGACTCTCGCACCATAACATTATTTAAAATTTTTTAAAACCATAAATGTTTATTTTTCTCAGTTTAAAGTTGGTCGAATTCATTTAATATTTTTCAAATTTTAAGAAATCTTTTAATTTAGAAAATTTCAAAGTGGTCAAAGTGACCACTTTAAAGTGGTCAAAAAAAAAAGCGTTGTCCGTTTAGTTTGAATTGGAAACCAACTAATTAAATGCTAATTACTATGTGGTGTTGCTCTGTAATAGGATCATCATGTATTCTTATAGTTTTCACAAAAAAAGTTGTGTTGAAAAATTTGATCGAAAATGTGACAAAAAATAATTGCACTCCATTTTAATTTGATGACTTTAAAACAAAATTAATCCGTGTCAATGCGTTGAATACAGAGGGTTGAGTGGGTTCTATCTCTGATGCTTGAAAAAAACACAGTCTGTGATGTGCTTGAGGACTAAAGTCCAACTTTTTTCTTTATCTACTTCTATGCCGAAACAAATATTGACCGAGCTTTCCACTAAAGTTTTCTTTCCAAGAAAAAATTTATCTTCATTGTACTTCTGAGCGTAAAATGCCTAATATAATTTTGATAAGTTTGAATGACTAAAGTTCGACAACTTGGCATATTCAATTTTTACAATTCACGTTTTGTAACTCCCCTTTATTCAAAGAATAAATTATGACATTTTTTTTGAATACAAAGGTATTTTCTGGCACACTTGGCTAGAAAAGAGAAGCCCCAATTACGTTTTCTCTACCATTGTATCACACCAAAATTGGCTGGAAAAAGATCTGTCAAGTTGAGGTACCTGTTTATTTTTAACTGCATAGAGCTAATAGGTGGTTCAAACAGAGACTGTGAGGGCTTACATTCAATCACTGTTTAAGTTCGTCTGAGAAGAGCTCATTTTAGCACTGAAGAAACAAGAATAAATAAAAAGCTTATATTACACGGATGTATAGAAGCATTACTATCGGGGCTCGGTGATAAAGCTTATTTATGCATTCTTCATGCTCCAGCCAAATGTATACTTTACTATATTTTTGTACATTGTAAACATTTTTAAACGGCGAAATAAACTAAACCAAATTTTTTACAAGTTAATAAGTTGAATAAAATGCTTTATTTTAATTTTAGTTCTGACCAAGTAAACATTTTCTTAACAAACCATCCTTAGGTAAATCTTTATAAATAATTTATTTAAAATTGCGATTAAAGGTAGGTAATTTTGTTTTGCCATTTTGAGTATTTTTGTCTTTAAGCTCTAATTACTTCTTAAATAGTCTTCATATAAATAGTCTTCTTATATGTCTAAACATTTTTTTTTTTGTATGTATTTAGGTGCTCCCAGAAGTCCTAACGGTCTTATCATAGAGCACCGCGGATGAGCATTTAACAGGAAGTTCACGCCTCCTTCCGTGCCAGTGTCGCTTGTTGGGCTAGAGCTGGCATCGAACCTCGGACCTCTGAGTTCTGAGCCAGAACTCTAACCACTGCGCCACGGCTGTTCAACATTGATAATAAAATTATTACAAACAAATCTTTAATTGCTGAAACACTTAATCAATGTGTTGTCAGTGTAGGTTCCACTTCAGCGTCAAAAATAGAAACTACTGAAGTACACTTTGAGTCACATCTTACTCCTAATAAGACCTCTAAGATGGATAATCATGAAATGACTGAAAATGAACTCTTAGATACAGTATATCTTTCAAAACTAAACAAAAAGGTGGGATTTGATAATATTAGTAGTAATGTAAATAAAAAATCGATAAAATACTTAACACTCCCTGTTTTACATATTTTTAGTCTCTCTTTAAAGCTAGGTGTTTATCCAAAGAAATTTAAAATTGCAAGGGTCATACCCATATTCAAAGTAGGAGACATTTCTAATCCTGAAAATCACAGACACATTTCAATTCTCCCTTGCTTCTCAATCTTAGAGCAAACTATGTATAATTGAATTTAGACATTTTTAAGTATAAACAATATTCTACATAATAAACAACTTGGTTTTCTTACCAAGAAACTCAACTGACCATGCCATTAATTAATACTGTTATATTAATTACGATATATTTAAAGAATTTGAAAAAAGTAAGTATACCCTCGGAGTTTCTACAAATCTGAACAAAGTTTTCAATATAGTAGACCATTACATTCTTATTAAAAAAAATAGAAAGTTATGGTATTAAAAACACATGTTTAGAATGGCTCAAAAGTTATCTAAACAATAAAAAGCAATACATGTCACATGAAAAAGGAAAATCTGATTACATGGAGATATTAACTTTTTATATAAAATAGTAAACTAGTAATTGTCTTTAAATTTTAATAAAACTTATTTGCTTTTTTTTAAAGACTAAAGAAAATATTTCGTTAAAACTTCCTGATCTTTATTTTGGCAACTCTAAAAAAAGTAGAGAGTTATCATTAAAGTTTTTAGGAGTGATACTTGAAAAAAACGTGATATGGAGAGAACACATAAGAACAATAGACAATAAAATTTCAAAAAAAATGGCACATTATGCAAAGCTTAACATTGAAGCAAAACTGCTTAAAAATCTTTTATTTTTCCCTTATACATTGTTAGATAAC